GGGGACGGGGGGGGGAGGGGGAGAGGACTGTCACTCCTCATTACTGATTAAGTCACACAGTGAACAAATGACAGCTGGACAATGTCCCCACCACTCATTCCATGTCTGTGCTGAGCTCTAGTTCAGCTAGTTAAGGACTTTTTCTGTCCAGTCTGTCCGGCAACACGGCACCACAGAAGACTATATTGTCTTCTCATAAGCCTCAGTACTGCTCCAGGATATGGCCTCCTACATCTCAGAATCAGGATTTTTCATCTTGCCTCCATGCTCTCATGCACCATATGCTTTCCCGTTGTATGGTACTGCATCATGCAGACCAGCCAGCAGGCAGCTGAGCTCCTGTGGATGGGGTCATCTCACATCAGGTCTAATTGGCTGTGCTTTACCTGGCAGTTCAGCCCATGGATAAATGCTTAATCACTGAAAATATAATCTTGAAATACTAATCGGAATATTGGCACAATGGTGATATAAACGTGGAAAAAAACCCATTTTCTCTGCTTTACTGAGAAAAAGATTATTCACATGGTGAACATGGGTCACTCAGCTGAGAGAGGCAAGCTATGGAAAGAGAAGCTACAGGCTATGTAGTTGTGAACAGGAACATCTGACCAACCTGGTTAGGGTTGGGTTTGCATCTGTGGACCTGAAGAAAGATTCTGAAAAACAGAAAGGGCAATACCCATCATTCTCACATCTCTTTGGTTCTCTACCATACACCTCAAAAGCAATCCTGTATTAGAAGTTACAAAGATGCTGTGTGGTCTGGGACAGGGTATTTCACCTATCTGCTACAGAAACATTAATTTGTATTACCGTTAATCTGCAGGCCCTGGGAGTCTCAGGGACATCCATCCATATCATTGGGGTAAGCCTTGGTGCGCATGTCGGGGGCCTGGTGGGGCACTTCCATGGTGGTCAGCTGGGACGGATAACAGGTATCATAAAACTGAGTCTTGGATCCTCATCTGCTCTTCAAGGGAGAGAATAAAAGAGCAAAGAAGGGGAGTCGTCCATCATGGTCTTTTATTTGCATATGGGCTCATTAGATCCAGGCTTATGGGCTTCTTCCTAGCTTCAGAAGAGGCTGACAGTGCCTTTCCAGTCATCAGTCCCCTCCATACCGCCAAAAGAATGCGTGCATTTGCAAAAGGGTCCTTCTGCCTCTGCTCCACTCTTCAAATTGGTGCCAGCTTAAAAGAATACGAGGCCTAATGAAAACTCATAATATTCACTTGCTTTGCGTCCCCTTTACAGCACGTATACATACCTCTGTGGTTCTTAAAATTAAAGCCCACAGTGCATGTCCTTGGGGAAATGGGGAGCAGCAAGAGTGAGCTGCTCTGCAGGAAAATGTGAGCTGAGAGCCAAGGGGACAGCAAGGTAGGCAGGAGCAGCGGCCTCACTGACAAGGGACACAGTCCTACCGTACCTGGGCAAGAAGAGCAGAGCAGGTCCAGGGATAGGTCATCCACAGTCCAGTGATCACCAGGCAAGTCTGTAGTGATAAGGCAAGCCCAAGGCTGAGCCAGGAAGTCAAGTCAGCAATATAAGCGCAGGACCAACAAGACACAGGGCTGGGCATGGCATCCCTACAACACAGCTCAGGCAAGGACCAAAGGCAAGAGCCTTTTCGGTATTCTCTCCCACAAGCCAGCTGTTTTCACAGTAGAGTGGTCTAAGGCCACCCAATTGTACCAAATCAGAGCTGACCTTAAACACAGAGAGCCAAACTCCTGGGTGTGAGGAAAAGTTTGCAGTGGGGGAGTTACAGAGAAAGATGGTTGGAGGCTAGTCATGGCATTTAGAGCTCTTTTGTTCACTCAGGATGTTGTCAGCCTTTAGGTAAAGGGGAAGAATAGAGTCACAGAATGATTTAGGTAAGAAGTGACCTTGGAAGGTCTCTAGTCCACCCCACACCCCCACCTCTGCCACACCCCTCCAAGCAGTCTGCCTTCTAAGTCAGATCAGGTTGTCAAGGGTCTTGGAAAGTTCTGGGAATCCCCAGGGATGGAGATTTGTTTTGATAGGAGGGAAAATGCCACCAAGTAGGAACAGACATAAAGGCTCCAGTAGAATGACCACAGCTTCCAGTCTGCCTCAGCCCATGCTGGTCTGTCTCACAGAGGTATCCTCAAGGAGGGTCTCACTGCACATTCAGCAGGGCAGTCCAGAGAAATGCTGGTTCAGCCTTCACATGTCACCGCTACCCACACTGCCTGAAATAGGGGCGTTTCTTAACAGAAGCTGAGTTTCACACAGGGCCCTTTTTTAAGCTGTTAATCAAAGTTTACATTAGGAGGGACTTGGAGTAACTACTTTCCTGCACCAGGATTTTATGATCAGCAACATCTTCAGATGAGCAGAAGCAGACACTTTCCCAGGAAACCATGGTAATTACGAATCAGAGACTCTTCCCCTTTATGTTGTCTACATGTAATAAAAGCTCTGTAGGTTTATTTATTCCATTAATTTTTAACACTACTAGAAGACAACCCTTCTTTATAACTCCTGATTCTTCTATGATTTCATAAGAACACTGGTCATTGCAGGTTCCAGTTCAGATTTAGGAGCCTGAAGACAGGTGGAATCAGACCCAAGATATGTCTGATCTCATCTTCTGCCTCCGCACACATATGCATACACACAGAAAGGAATGTGATCCCAGAGCCATAATTTGCTGAAGTGTTTTCAGTCATCTAAAAAGAGCTGTGAAGCAAAACTAGAGTGAGCTTTGGAGATCATAGAACAGAGTTTATTTTTGTGATGTGAGTTTCTTTAACTCATGCCTGTTCCTGTGGCTATCTCCTTGTGCAGGAAAGCAAATGGTACAGGAACTGGAATGAACAGGCATATCCAAAATTGCTGAAAAGCAATTTGTTTCAATTTTTGCAAAGGAAATTAAAAAGCCTGAAGGAATTCAGCTACATTTAGTATAGCTTCAGTGAATAGTTTTCTTAGCTGTTGAGGATGTAAATCTTAATGGAGTTCATGCAGCTTGTGCTTGGAGGAGGTATAGAGAATAGAGGGTATAAATGTGCTTGCCTTGGAGCTGTGATAGAATTGACTGCTACTCACGGTAGAACTTTAAGCTATACTGAATAACACTTTCCAGTATCTCTTAAAGCCTTTAACTAAAACTTGGTCTGTAGAATTGCGTGGAAAATGTCTCAGCTTTTTGTATGTGTCAGGATTAAAGAATACAGAAGAAAAATTAAAGCAGTAAATCCTTCTGACCACTTGTCCTATTATTAGCGTTTATTTATTGAAAGAAGAGAATTTTTCTCCTTCTTTTCCTTTTTCTCCTTCCCTCCCCTCACCTCACACATGCAAACACATCAGTTTGTATATTGTTGATATTACTTTCTCCATAGAGAATTAATGGGACCGAGTCCAGGGCAGTGAAATTGTCCAGCTCTGAGGCCAAGTGGCACGTGGAGCAGAGCTGCTTCTTAAAACACTGTTGTTGCCTAGGGAATGAAAAAAAATCTTGTGAGATTACTTTTCTACAAAAAGTGAGCAGGATAAACCTCAGCCAGAACAAAAAAAATTATCTTTGACCTGTTCCTTGGTATTGCCAAGGATAATTTTCTGTATTCCTTTGACTCCCCAGAAGTTGCTCTAGGAGCAAGTTTTAGGCAAAAATGTAGATAGCTGCTTAAGGACTCGATTTTATTTGTGGAGAGAGGGCTCAGAAGCCTCTTTGTTTTAAGAATGTTTGATAATATCAAACCTTTGTAATGCTTGGATTGGTTAATGCCCGGGATGCTGAATTCATCACCTACCTGATAATCTTCAGTGACATTTCTCAGACTATAGTGCTAATACAGACAACAGTACAATTAGGGAAGGTCTTACCAATTTGATTCCCTTTCACCGAAAATCCGAAAGACACTCTGCACCCGCTCTGTCAGAGGTATTTGAAGCTCAGTTGTGGCTTTACAGCCTAGAAACCTGAGGTACAAAACTGCTATAGGAGAGTGGAATGGGGGAGGACAAGGTAAGGAAGCTGTAGTGAAAGTTAGCAGGGGCAGAAACCATTCTGGAGCATAACCAGTGCAACCTGGGAATAATTTATCACTTCTGCTCAGCAACATTTTTAAATTTTGGATAAAATAACTGGTCCAGAAATAATAAAGTGATGGGCTGAAGAGCATCTGTTAAGCATTTGTTAAGATGTTTGATTTTGTTACAGGCCTGGATCCCGCAGGCCCTAAGTACACCAGAGCCAGCCCTGAGGAACGCCTGGATCCTGGGGATGCCCTCTTTGTGGAAGCCATTCATACCGATGCTGACAGTAAGCTGGCTTCTGTCTTCTTCAGCCCATGCTTCTGTTCCTGCTGCCATCATTATTGCTAAGGCGTGTGTAGGTCATTGTGCCTTTTATGCCAGATTATCATGAGTTCAGGTTCACTCTGAGGATGGTTCTTGATTAGATAGGCTTTAGCAATGAATTCATTGCACGTATTTGTATGCCAGAGCACTTCACAGCAACGGACAGGTGGGGAGGGCAATCTTCCAGCAAATATTGCTTTCTTAACCCTGCTACAGCAGAGTAAGTTTATGCAGAATCAGCTCAGTATGGCTTTTACCACCTGGAAGGAACTTACATGTCTGGTCTTTGCTTTTCCCCACTTGACGTAAGAAGGGTGCCACTGCAAGTGCTGGTGGAAAGTAACAGCTTGGTGCAACAACAGAGTAACTTTTCTGAAGCGCTTAGTGTCTATGTAGGCAGACCACATGCTAAAGAATAACATGGTGCCTTTGACTCACACCTCTTGCCTGGAGATTATAAAAATCTCTACCAACATAACTCTCAATCATGCCTCATAATCCCCTGTTAAGGTTGCAGTCAGTTTTGTTCTCCTTTATACAGAATCAAGAACCTGAGTCACAGAGGTGGTGATGAAGCCACAGTTGCCAGTCATTTTGATGGCAGGGCCTGGAGCACATTCTGCTCTGTGCAGCACAATGCAGGCATTTATGAACAGGAAATCCGTCCTTGATGTCTCCAGCACTGGATCTGGGTCCAGCACTACTAATGTTCAAACAATTATTGGGGCCTGTCAAATACCATGTAGGGTAAAGCCTATAGAAGAACTAAGCATAAGAATGAAGTGGCTTTTCACCTCCTTTCAGATTTCGGGATCCGGATTCCTGTAGGCCACATCGATTATTTTGTCAATGGAGGCAAAGATCAGCCAGGATGCCCCCGATTCATCTCGTCAGGTAAGAACACTCTGTGGCCAAGAAAAGGGCTTTCATGGCTGTTTAGCAGACTGTGAAAATGCTGTTTGGCAACCAGCTCCTGCTACAGTCAGGGCAGACATCAAAGTGAAAAATGTATTTGTAAAGACCTGTGGCAGCAGAGATTCATGGCCCACATCTCCCCTCAGCAGTACAACGAGCAGCTGAAATTAAAATCACATACAAGTGAATTTGTCAAGTGTCTTGGCAGCACCATTGTCAAGAGATGTGAATTTGATGACACTTCTGTATGAGCCAAAACCCCTAGCATCAGTAGTGTTTGTATCAACAAAGAAAACAGTTATGTTAGAAAGGATTTTAGGTACTACTAGCAAAAGCTTCTTTTTGTTTTCATGCTGCAAGCTGTGTCTGTACTTAGAGAGACAGCTTGTAAAATCACAGCCTTTTCCTTCTAGAGAATAGGACTTTACACAGTAAATAGTGTGGATAAATATTCAAATGTGTTCTGGATGAGCCAGCTGCATTGAGGGTCAGGTAACAGGGGACACTTATGGTACTTCACTTCCCACAGCTGGGGTCCCAGTGCAGGTGGGAGTCATTGCCCTGTTGTACCCCCTTGCAGAGAGCTTGGAGCCTTCATCGATGATACACTGATGGGGACATGGCAGCCCTGTGGTCCCCCTCTTCTGGAAGACTCCGTTAGTCTGGGAGATACACTTCTAACTTCCTGTGTAACTCCTCTTGCAGTGGAATCTGGGCTTGTAGTAACAAAAATGCTCTACAAAATGTCACTAATGGGAAGGGGATGGCTGCAGAATCACTAAGAGTGTTTCTTGACTCTCAGGTCCTTGGGAACATGCAAAAAGACTGAAGCCAAGGGAGAAGCTCATGGCTGCTTTTCTCTGGGTGCATTTTTTCTTGCAGGCTATAAGTATCTGATCTGTGATCACATGAGGGCAGTACACCTCTATGTCAGTGCCCTGAAACATTCCTGTCCGTTTGTGGCATTCCCCTGTGCAAGTCATCAAGATTTTATGAACGGTCGTTGCCTGGACTGTGTTGATCCCTTCCTGTTCTCCTGTCCCAGAATAGGTACAGTACCAGCATGAAAACTTCCTGGAGCGGACAACAATACATTCCTGATGGGTGTCAGTGCAGAGCACAGTATGCGGTTCAGATATCTCTGAGCAGGATTTGCTTTGGCTGTCTTTGGGGATAGCGAGAAGCTGTTTATTTTCAGGCTTCCATAGAGACGCTTTAAAAGCTCATAGATTGCCCAAGGTAGAACAGCAACATCTTCAACATTTCTGATCTTTAAACATTTCATAGGACCCACAAATTAGTTGAAAGAGAGTCTCCAGAATCCCCTGCCTAACAAGTGGGAAATTAGCTCAAAAACTGTCTTGTTTAGATAAGCAGCTGGAAATTTTAGACCAAGCCTGAAGTCCCATTCTTCTACAAACCACTCACTGTTGCTGTGTCACTTTCTTCTCATAAATTCTTGCCATGGCCACCCCAAAGATGAATTCCCTGGACTAGGAGAAGGTAATAGTTGCCTCTTTTAGGCTTCTGGAACTGGGCTGTGGCTCAAGTAGAGGAAGTGTCCTCTAGTGATATTTGCCGTCTGGTACCAGAGGAACAGGAGAGGCCCCTTTTGGTACAGGTGCTCTCAGATCAGCCACCCTTTCTCCATCTCACCAAGCCACATTTTCAGCTAGTCAGTGGTGCAGGTGTCTCAGGTTATGGTGGTCTTCTCACTTGATCCAGAAATCCAATTTCCCAGCACCTTGTGTTTGCATTGTCATTTACATCAGCACTAAGTTTCCTGACTTGGTGGTCTTTAGTCCTGCTCATTTTGCACAAGTGCAACTGATGACACAGTTTGCTAGCAGAGGAATGAAACAAAACCACGAAGATGTACTCTGATGATGATTACCTGGGGTAGCCAGAATAGGTTTTCTGGGGGGTTGTTAACCTGTCAAACAGGTACAACAAACCTGTGCTTCCTCTGATTTGCGCTGGTATAAAGAAAAGGTCTGTTCTTTCAGTGAAGTTGGGTGGGGTAAATGGAGGTGATTTGGGACCAATTATATTTCTGTTCTGGGTCATTTATGGTTTTCCCTGCACTGGCTTTATTTCCTCCTGCAGGCCTGCTGGAGCAGGCAGGTGTCAACATGAGAAAGCTGCCCAAGGAGGTGAAAGTTTATTTAATGACCAGTCCCTCAGCCCCATTCTGTGGTAAGTAGCAGTGAGAAAAAACAAGTCAGAAGGGCATTGGCCAAATTAAGCAGATTCTCTGGGGAGGACAGTTGGTTACAACCCACCATCCCCATCGGAATCAGCTGTTGTGGTCTGAGACACAGAGCTGAAGAGCAATAACCCTGCATATCTCCCCTGTAAAGCCCTGTTCAATGGGTGTATTAGTGTGGGCATAGCCCTGGATTAAGACAGCAACATGGCTTCAGGACTGAAGTAAAGGATAGTGAAAATGCCTGTCTGTTTACACTGGACTATGCAGACCTGCCCACTGTGCCTCTCATACCACAGAGACTATTTTCTTTCTTAGGTCTATTTAATCTTCTTTCTGCTGGTGGGGACAGGGAATGGGTGCTAGAGGCCTTCTTCTGGCAGGGGTAGGCCCAGCTGATAGTACCTGCCCTCACTCTTGCATACTTTGCCTCTTGCTCAGTCCATCACAGCCTGGTTGAATTCCACTTGCAGAAGAAAAGAAACATAGCCACCAGCATTGAGATAACTTTCTGCAGCAACAGGACCAAGGACACGGTGAAGATCACCATGTGAGTGACAGTGCATGCTTCTGGCCTGTTTTATCCCAGCTCCATGTGTAAGGATGTTTATACCAGTCTGGGAAAGACACAACAATAGCACATCTCCCTGAGTGCAGGCACTGTGTGATGAACCACAACCTTTCTGCTGGAGGCCCTCCACGTTTACCTTAAATGCTCTCAAGAATCAGGCATGTGCTACCATTACTCAGTAACCTGGCTAGGTCCACCTCTTCCCTGAGTGCACAAAGCAGTAGGTATACTCTGGAATCCTCAAATTTGCATACTTCCGTATTGCTATGACAGTTCCTTTTCTGCAGGTACCCTTGCCTGGTGCCAATTCAAACCTCAATCACTGACAGATAGTTATCAGCTCTACTCTGCCAGACGGAGACAGCTACAGCAAGACCCCATCCACCAGAGGTTCCAGACTGACAGTCTTGGTGGCTTAGACATTCCTCTTGATGCCCAATAGGACAGCAGTTGCAAAGAGGAGACAAGTGCATCCGCAGTCAGAAATGTGTTCGGTAGCTTGTTGCCTCTGCAGTAATGCAGCAAAGGGCCCCGGCTCCCATTGTAGAGAAAAGTCCAGGGGGCAGGGGACCAAGACCACACATGCAGACAGACAGCACTACCCTCCTCCAAACTGTATCTGAATTAAAGGACCAGACTCAAATTCCTGTTCCACAGCCCTTGCCACAGGGGGATCTCCCCACCACAGAGAAGTTCCCCAGAAGTCTTCCTCACTTTTTCCCACACCTTCCTGCCCACTACTGTGGGCTGGGAACTGCAATGTAGACATGCAGCTAGCACATGCTGCTGGCTGCCTCAGGAAACAGGAAAACAGTCTGCTAAAGAGCCTCAGCCAGCTCTCCTAGGATCACAGGAGTTCCAGCACTGGCTGCCACACAGTCCTTACCACTAAGCCAGAACACTGTGACCTGAAGACAATTGTGTTGCTGCTTCAGTCCTGGGCACCAGGAGGTAGGGGTGAAAACCAGGGAAAGGGAAGCCACACTCTAGGGTGCTCTCCAGCATGACATAGCTGCTTGGGTACAGATTTCCAGACAGGTTCTGCAATTTGTAGTTTGTACTCCAGCCTGGTGGAGCTCAGTCTGTTCAACCCCTCCCCGGCTTGGGAGCCAAATCTGTCTTTTCCAAAGATGCAGGAGGGAGGAAATAGTAATACCCAGGTCAAGTCAGGACCCTTGATCTGGTCAGAAAGACATGCAGCACTTCCTTTTGCAGTTGTTGGACACAGGGTTTGATAGGAGTCCAGCAGACGGCATGTAAGCACTGGTGACAAAGGCTGCCTGGGGAAGTGAGACAGGCAGGCAATCCCGAGGCTTTGCTGTACCCTCAAGTTTTAATGAGACAGCAAAGTTATAGCAGGGTAACCTATCCAGAGATACCCTTTCACTGAGAGAACAGCAGCTGTATTTCCTTGAAGTGCCTTCCTGAGAAGCACAAGGCTAAACTGAAAAATTTGCTTACAGCAATAAATGTACAGATTTGAGAGTATAAAATTGAAGATATCCCTTTTAATTCACACTGTAGCAAAGAGCAAAGAAACTTCCCCGCTCTAGGCATAGCTCAGCCCTCCAGTGCAGTCAAGCTCAGACTGTTGAATGGGCATCTAAACATAGATTCTCACATTGCACTTCAGACACTAATCGATCACTGACATATTTCAGGTGATCTGACATGCCTGCCATCCTGCAGTTCCCCAGAAGTGCACAGGCACTTGCAAGTGTTCAGCCAGTCTCATACCTTCAGCAAGTGACTCACATTGTTGTGTCTTCCCTCACATTGCCCTGCTTCTCTCCTAAACACCAATTCCAATCTCACTCCTCAGGATGCCGGTACCCCATGTGTTGCTCAGAGCGCCTCAAGAGACATGTCCCCAAGCCCCATAGCTGCCATGGGGCTGACAGAGTAAGGAGCTTGAAACACAGCACACTTCCCAGCTGCGTCGCGTTGCTTACGCACAGAATCATAGAATCACGGAATGGTTTGGGTTGGAAGGGACCTTAAAGATCACCTAATTCCAACCCCCCTGCCATGGGCAGGGACACCTTCCACTACATCAGATTGCTCAAAACCCCATCCAGCCTGGCCTTACATCACACAACACCATCTCCCATATCCAAAAAAACATACTTCTGAAGCCAGCCAGGAGTCCTACATCTATCCAAAGGTTGTGTGGGGTTGGACCAAATGTCAGTCCCAGGAGTGACTTTCTTCAACCTGCTTAATCTTACTGTGTTCCTCTGTCCTGGGGCAGGGCTGGGTCCTGCCCATGGACAATATGCAGTAGAGAGATGGCTTCCCCTATGTTTGTTTTCCATTTGCTATCCATTATTCAATTTTATAACCACAATTTAATGATGCTTCCTATTTTTGGTAGCTTCAAGCCAGACACAGTCAGACACACAAAACCTCCAGCATCTACCACTGCAGCCTAAGGGAGGGACTGGATGTACTGGTTTGAGTTGGCCACTCTGGCCTAGGAGCATGTTGAATGCAGCTGTCAGCCTGCTCCTGGGAGCTGCTTTCATTAGCAGA